TGCGCTCCATAGCTTCGGAACAGAGCTATGAAACTGATGGATCCTGCAAACAGAGGGCTCCATTGAGCCAAATAACCATTCAAGAATGGCGCAGTTCTTAAAGAACCACGCAGAATATCCAGGGTCGGCATCAGCTGGCTTTGGGTAAGATCCCGTCAGCCAACCAAGCTTCCCTACACGGCCTAAGAAAAGCTGGAATGAGCGAGACCACTCAGCGAAGTTACGACCATTAAACAACTATGCCGTAACTTTCTGAGAGATCATGCCCAGTAGTGCTGGTAATACAACTGTGCTAGTAGGTATTGTATACTGGTCAAACATAAAAAATGGAAGTACCCATAGATGTCTCAACGGTAAAGGTGTCAACAGTAGGGGTCTCAAGTCCCTCAGTAGTAGTCATATCAACAGTAATACTAGAGCACCCGTGATAGAAAAACAACTCTAAGATAAATAGAGGGATAAAATATGAGAGAACAATATACCTCCAGTCGAACAGTAGTGACAGATAAAGATGGTTCAGAAAGCTCCCAAATAATTAGGTCACGATGCCCAGAAATCCAATAAATATAAATAAGTGATCTACTGCATCAAGAGCATATCAATGGAGAAGAGGAGTCAACCCCTCTTAAAAGGTCTTATGGTCCCAAATAATCAAGTGCACAAAGACAAAACACAAAACTATGAGTTTAATGAACAGTGGGTTGGTTGAAATAAATAAGTAATCTATATATTATTTGGTATAAATAAGTGAGCAGCCAGTCGGTTACTTGGTTTGGGCAGTTGGTTGGGTTTGGGCATTCAGCTAGTCTGTTGTTCGATTGGGTCTTGGTGTCTGGTCTGGAGTGGATTTGTCGGTGGGTATTCGTGGTTGGGTCTTGGTGGCTGGTCTATTTTTTGGTGGTTGGACTAGTCTATTTTTCGGTGGGACTGGGTAGTTTATTGTTCAGGTTTATGAAGTCGATAGAGGACGAAGTAGTCTTGGGGCAGTGGGTTTGTCGCTAGGTGATTGTCGGTGGAGGCTGGTNCGGGTGTATGAAGTCGATAAAGGACGAAGTAGTCTTGGGGCAGTGGGTTTGTCGCTAGGTGATTGTCGGTGGAGACTGGTTTGGTGTTGAAGCTATCAGTGATAGTGTGTTTGTTGGTGTTATAGGTTTGTCGGTGATGGGTAGGCAGTTCGTTGTCCGCTGGGTACTTGTCGGTGTGTGAAGCCTACCGCTAGTAGGCCGTCGTTGTGGTGTCGGTGGATGGTTACGATGTTTGGTGGAGGCTAGGGGTAAGGTTAGGGTTGGTAGCTTTGATACCAACTTGTGATAGATGTAAGTAAAAGAGATACAAACTAAGTGTAGAGCCCCTGTATATATAGTCAATGAGGTTACAATAAGGACAAAAAGGTAAAAAGAAAAACTTAATAAAACCCTAATAAACTAGTCTACTACTATATCTCCAACACTAGGAAATTTACTTTAGAAATATTGTGAAGTCTAGACTCTTTTGTAATTCCGCTGCGAGTTTATGTTTAATTCTTTTGGGGATATAGTCGTTATGTTTTGGCGTATTCTTTTGGGAACGAGATTGTAAAGATTACCTTTGATGTATGANAATTTTGGGATCATATTCTTTTGGGGATATAGTCGTCATGTTTTGGCGTATTCTTTTGGGAATGAGATTGTAAAGATTACCTTTGATGTATGAAATTTCTTTATGGATGAATTATTTAGTTACTCTCATGATGTGAATGGTTTTTAGTTTGTAATGCCATCCACGGTGGGTTTTGGAGCGTTACAGAACACCTATCAAACAAAGATAGGAGACACGTTTGAATGCCACACAATGTTCGAACGTTGTCCCCAGACAGGCTGCAGAGTGGTTGAGTTTCTTTCCGAACATTGGGACTCACACATGACTTTGAAGGCATTGTACTATTCCTCCACATTCCCTTGCCCCATCCTCTTTCCCTATAAATACTCCCATTGTGGGAGCTTCAAAAGGGAGATGGGAATCTTAGACTAGACCGACATTTCTTAGCTAACTGTAGAATTAGTCTTAGACTGACGCTTGCATTTTACTTGTATAGAGGGAGATAGATCATCTTTTTGGTTGCGGTGAAAACCCTCCAAAAGTGGCTAACTTTCTTCTACTTTTATTGTTAGTTTCTTTCACTTCCATTGCTCGAGCTTCTTTATTTTCTTAGAGAAGTGAAACTCTTCCACTTTTCTAGAGCTTTACCAAGGCCGTGAAGAGTGGAATGTGATTCATTCATTCTTCGTCAAAGATCGGCTCTGTGTGTAGTGTATTTTACCTTGTAACTCTTCTACTTGGAGTGATGAGCGTCAATCACTTTTCTAGCTTTACCAAAGTCATGAAAAATGAGTAGTTTCTCATTCACACTTTAGTAAGAGGTAATGGACATGTATAAATCATCTGAAAGTTATATATGTGCATTTCAATTACACTTAATGCTTTATATTTCACTTGTTTACTGAATTATTGACTGCATCTAGCAAAGTTAAAGTACTTTGTATAATCGTGAGTACTTTCTATAACACATATAACTCTTGCATAGAAAAACTCATTGGTTCAAGGCAAGTACCTCGGCTAGATCTTTATGACTACCCTTCAATCTTCACCATTATCGTGCTTCATTTAAAAAATAGAATATTCATACCATGATTGGATGCATTGTAGAAACACTTGCTTGTTTGTAGACAGATTGAGTCTCGGCACAGACAATTATTGTAAACTTTTAGAAAGGCATCAGAACCATGTTCTTAATTCTCACAATCCATCTTTATCTTCCGATTAACTTGTTGTTGACACGAGGGTTAATTGAGTTACCAAGCACAAGTATAATAAACTAAATGATCAACTACAAGTCCAGATCCTCAAACTAAAGAGTGACTGTTTGCATTTGAATTTATCTTATATTTTGTCTAGAAAGTCTTCTTGGAAAGAATTATATATTTGGCTCAGGAAAATCTCTAAACATCATCACTATAAATCTCAAATGTTACAATCACATGGTCTTTGTCATTGCTTACTTCAAAACACCAACAATAGTTCCCTATGGATTCGACTCCGAACTTAACTAGATTATTACTACAACTTGACTGTCTGCACTTGGGTGTACATGTTTTGGATCAAGTCACTAAGTGCTCTAATCGGGAGGTGTCGTGCAAAGAAACCATTCGGGACCTTAATTTGGAGGGAATGACATCCAAATAGGTCGTGTTTTAGTCAACCAAAAGAAAAATCCAAAGCAATCAAAGAAGAAATCTTCTCTGCAAGGAGCCGTTGCATAAAGTCATCCGTAAGATACATTAGAGTTATAGGCATGAGGGGTGGAAAACTTTGGGAAATAGGCACAAAGCCATAACTGGAGAACCTAGTGAGGGCCCGCCCCTTTAAACTTATTAGAGGAAATTGTTTCAGACATCCCTCGGTGAAGATGCTCAAGTATAACTGGAGCCATGGCATAAGATGCTCCTGCAACCAAGTTAACGGCTACCAGGATATATTCTTTGGTAATCTTGCAAAATGAGGCAAAGAAAAAGAAGTGATTAGGCTAGAAAAGCGAGAATGAGATGTACCTGTAATCTGTGACCTTCGCAGTTGGTCGAGGAGAGCAGAAATGTCGTAAAGGTGGGAGCCATTATATCCCAACAAAAATGGAAGGCGTTGTGCGCCAAAGTTCATAAAAGAAGAGTAAAATAGGAAAGATGTTTGTTAATAAGCATAGAGAAGGTAGTGTGGTCTATGCTGTCATAAATTCCCAATCGTCGCCATAGGTTGCTCTTGGCCGCTTTGACATTGGGAACCCATGAAATCTACTATGGAGAGGGGGATTCCATGCATGAATGGGGCTGCTAGAGCTCCAGTAATTGTAGGCTTTCACCTCGTTTGAACATAAGAGGTTCATGGGTAGCAAGATACTGCTTGTGAAGGACAGATGAAGGGAATGTAGTAAAAGTAAGACCAAGGCCCATCACCGACGAAGAGGTGTCGGGGTTAGGAATGAAAGTGTCATGGTTAGCTATCTTAGGGATTTTGGCGATCACATCTCAAAGGATAGCCATACGAGAAGAAAAAGACGCCATAGTGGGAGGAAGTAAGGTTGGCTAGAATGATACAAAATTAAGTTTGACAGGGTATATATATAGAAGGGTTGGCCAAATCATTGCAATGATAAGGAGATACGATCAGATCGCAAGCCAGCCACTTCCTGTAGATTTGAAAAGATGGAAGAAGGCCGAGAGTCTACATGTGGAAGTTGAGTTGTATATGTCGTGTGGTGTAGCCAACATTGAGGTGCCAACTGAATGGGCAGATTAAGGCGACAACAGTTCAAATTCAAAGAACCAAAACGACAATCAAAAGAGAAAGCGTAACGTCGGGTCATTTTGATGGGGCAATGTTTACAACCAAATATTAAGAAATTTAAGAATAACATGGTAAGATTGAACAACCAAAATTGAGTCAGAGAAGGTTCAAGTTAGATGAGGTGGCTATGAGTAATTATCTCCAAGGATCTCGGGATAGAGGCGGGGCAGACGTGACATCATGGAGCCATTGGTTACAAACAATTTTGATGCATGTTGTTAGGCATTGAAGAGAGAAAGGCCACGAATGTTAGTTTAGTGGTCGGAAGTCATCGCTTATAAATACAAAGACTCATGCAAGAGAGAAGAGATCCCTCGATCAAAACACACACAACCAATATATCTGAGTCTTCGTTTGCAGTATTTAAGTTTATATTTATTTATTTAACTCCACTCAGTAATTTCCTTTGTCTTAAACTCCATTTAAATTTTGGCACGCCAACAATCCAAAATTTGCCAAACATAGCCGTATCCTATTTTGTAGTGAGGCCTTCCATAGCGTGCTTCAGACCGATTCCTACATTCTGCCTGGCTGCCCATCCCTGCATGACAAGTCTATACTGTTCCATATTGATCTGATAACCCCAAGACCTTATCATTGAGTTTTTTCCTGTTTTTATTTACCTTAAAATACAGTTTCAAAACAACGTATTCCACAATGGCACCAATCTTCTCACCAATTTCAATTGAATTTATTCCTTTGAACTGGATATTACAAGAGATACTTTTTTGATGTATTTTCTCGGGCAAATCGTTCTGATATTTCTCAATTAGACACCCTTTCCCGATTACCTGCAAAAAGAGAAAAACACGGAGAAGGAAAAAAAAAAATGCACCTGTGTGATAATTGATATTGCTTAGGTAGGTTTGACCTATTCTTTTTGGCGTAATCATGCATTAGGACTCTCTCTGGCTCTGTCTCTCTCTCCAACAAGTAAAGATGCGAATCTTATTAGGTTCTCTCTGGGTGAGAAGTTAGGTCATTAATTTGTGCCTTGTGAGAGACCTAACATTGACCACACATAGATGGAAATGAATTTATAATGTAATAGTCCTCCTTCAATAAGGCTTTGTCGAAGTACACAGAAACCACAAAGCAAAACGTAATGGCGCCACATTTTAAAGCACTGCCCGAGCAAGAAATGGCAAAATTTATATTGTTCAGCATAACATTTGTCCTATTTCACATGATTGTTCCATGAGAGCAAACATAGCACCTAAAAAAGAAACACATGCAGATGATTGATCATTGTAGGATTTTGATTTCTAGCACACGTGGAAGTACTATGAATGACTAAAGCCAGGATTGTCTGGGACCGTATAAGTCGTGTCGTGCCAAAGTTTAATTAAATCCATATCCGATCCATTTATACTTTTGTATATGTTGAGTTCGTGTCGTATTAAGTTTGTGTTGCGTATAAATTCTACAGAGTTTGTGCACTGTTTAGTCCTGTTGCTGCTGATCAAATTTATGATGGGACTGACGGATTTACTTGTTAACCACCTGCTAAGGCTAAGCCCTAACTCTCCAACTTGGTGTAGACTTCATATTGCCATCGCATTTGTATGTAAAATTGTCAGGCCTAACTAATTACTTTGTTCCATCATGTCCTATTGGCTTGTCTTTCGGGAATGTAAAATGCTTCCTTGAGCAAGTTAACTTGAGGTAATCAAACCTACCATGTTGGAGCATATACTTCAATGACAGGAGTATGAGTTAGTGCAAGTGAATAAGACATACTGCACGAAACAACTCATAACACAACTAAAACCCAACTTGATGGAAGCTAGAAGAAGCAATCCAAATAGAAAGGGCTTTTAACATACATTTCGTACAAAATTTCATCTACGACTACTCATTTGAATATTGTCATCATCTTGGGAAACAAAAATTAGCAAAACTTTACTCTCACTACTATTTACCATCCTTTTATTGCAATCTTTGTCCAACAACTTCAATCTTATTCCTTTATGCATGAATTTTCACAATCATTGTGCTACAGTAAAAAAATAGCAGCGAAAACAGAACGATGTGATTAAAACTTGGTGTTGTTTTTTATTGTGAAGTGCCTGACAAGTAGCCTGCCGAGCTTGAATCNTCACCATTATCGTGCTTCATTTAAAAAATAGAATATTCATACCATGATTGGATGCATTGTAGAAACACTTGCTTGTTTGTAGACAGATTGAGTCTCGGCACAGACAATTATTGTAAACTTTTAGAAAGGCATCAGAACCATGTTCTTAATTCTCACAATCCATCTTTATCTTCCGATTAACTTGTTGTTGACACGAGGGTTAATTGAGTTACCAAGCACAAGTATAATAAACTAAATGATCAACTACAAGTCCAGATCCTCAAACTAAAGAGTGACTGTTTGCATTTGAATTTATCTTATATTTTGTCTAGAAAGTCTTCTTGGAAAGAATTATATATTTGGCTCAGGAAAATCTCTAAACATCATCACTATAAATCTCAAATGTTACAATCACATGGTCTTTGTCATTGCTTACTTCAAAACACCAACAATAGTTCCCTATGGATTCGACTCCGAACTTAACTAGATTATTACTACAACTTGACTGTCTGCACTTGGGTGTACATGTTTTGGATCAAGTCACTAAGTGCTCTAATCGGGAGGTGTCGTGCAAAGAAACCATTCGGGACCTTAATTTGGAGGGAATGACATCCAAATAGGTCGTGTTTTAGTCAAGCAAAAGAAAAATCCAAAGCAATCAAAGAAGAAATCTTCTCTGCAAGGAGCCGTTGCATAAAGTCATCCGTAAGATACATTAGAGTTATAGGCATGAGGGGTGGAAAACTTTGGGAAATAGGCACAAAGCCATAACTGGAGAACCTAGTGAGGGCCCGCCCCTTTAAACTTATTAGAGGAAATTGTTTCAGACATCCCTCGGTGAAGATGCTCAAGTATAACTGGAGCCATGGCATAAGATGCTCCTGCAACCAAGTTAACGGCTACCAGGATATATTCTTTGGTAATCTTGCAAAATGAGGCAAAGAAAAAGAAGTGATTAGGCTAGAAAAGCGAGAATGAGATGTACCTGTAATCTGTGACCTTCGCAGTTGGTCGAGGAGAACAGAAATGTCGTAAAGGTGGGAGCCATTATATCCCAACAAAAATGGAAGGCGTTGTGCGCCAAAGTTCATAAAAGAAGAGTAAAATAGGAAAGATGTTTGTTAATAAGCATAGAGAAGGTAGTGTGGTCTATGCTGTCATAAATTCCCAATCGTCGCCATAGGTTGCTCTTGGCCGCTTTGACATAGGGAACCCATGAAATCTACTATGGAGAGGGGGATTCCATGCATGAATGGGGCTGCTAGAGTTCCAGTAATTGTAGGCTTTCACCTCGTTTGAACATAAGAGGTTCATGGGTAGCAAGATACTGCTTGTGAAGGACAGATGAAGGGAATGTAGTAAAAGTAAGACCAAGGCCCATCACCGACGAAGAGGTGTCGGGGTTAGGAATGAAAGTGTCATGGTTAGCTATCTTAGGGATTTTGGCGATCACATCTCAAAGGATAGCCATACGAGAAGAAAAAGACGCCATAGTGGGAGGAAGGAAGGTTGGCTAGAATGATACAAAATTAAGTTTGACAGGGTATATATATAGAAGGGTTGGCCAAATCATTGCAATGATAAGGAGATACGATCAGATCGCAAGCCAGCCACTTCCTGTAGATTTGAAAAGATGGAAGAAGGCCGAGAGTCTACATGTGGAAGTTGAGTTGTATATGTCGTGTGGTGTAGCCAACATTGAGGTGCCAACTGAATGGGCAGATTAAGGCGACAACAGTTCAAATTCAAAGAACCAAAACGACAATCAAAAGAGAAAGCGTAACGTCGGGTCATTTTGATGGGGCAATGTTTACAACCAAATATTAAGAAATTTAAGAATAACATGGTAAGATTGAACAACCAAAATTGAGTCAGAGAAGGTTCAAGTTAGATGAGGTGGCTATGAGTAATTATCTCCAAGGATCTCGGGATAGAGGCGGGGCAGACGTGACATCATGGAGCCATTGGTTACAAACAATTTTGATGCATGTTGTTAGGCATTGAAGAGAGAAAGGCCACGAATGTTAGTTTAGTGGTCGGAAGTCATCGCTTATAAATACAAAGACTCATGCAAGAGAGAAGAGATCCCTCGATCAAAACACACACAACCAATATATCTGAGTCTTCGTTTGCAGTATTTAAGTTTATATTTATTTATTTAACTCTACTCAGTAATTTCCTTTGTCTTAAACTCCATTTAAATTTTGGCACGCCAATAATCCAAAATTTGCCAAACATAGCCGTATCCTATTTTGTAGTGAGGCCTTCCATAGCGTGCTTCAGACCGATTCCTACATTCTGCCTGGCTGCCCATCCCTGCATGACAAGTCTATACTGTTCCATATTGATCTGATAACCCCAAGACCTTATCATTGAGTTTTTTCCTGTTTTTATTTACCTCCAAATACAGTTTCAAAACAACGTATTCCACAATGGCACCAATCTTCTCACCAATTTCAATTGAATTTATTCCTTTGAACTGGATATTACAAGAGATACTTTTTTGATGTATTTTCTCGGGCAAATCGTTCTGATATTTCTCAATTAGACACCCTTTCCCGATTACCTGCAAAAAGAGAAAAACACGGAGAAGGAAAAAAAAAAAATGCACCTGTGTGATAATTGATATTGCTTAGGTAGGTTTGACCTATTCTTTTTGGCGTAATCATGCATTAGGACTCTCTCTGGCTCTGTCTCTCTCTCCAACAAGTAAAGATGCGAATCTTATTAGGTTCTCTCTGGGTGAGAAGTTAGGTCATTAATTTGTGCCTTGTGAGAGACCTAACATTGACCACACATAGATGGAAATGAATTTATAATGTAATAGTCCTCCTTCAATAAGGCTTTGTCGAAGTACACAGAAACCACAAAGCAAAACGTAATGGCGCCACATTTTAAAGCACTGCCCGAGCAAGAAATGGCAAAATTTATATTGTTCAGCATAACATTTGTCCTATTTCACATGATTGTTCCATGAGAGCAAACATAGCACCTAAAAAAGAAACACATGCAGATGATTGATCATTGTAGGATTTTGATTTCTAGCACACGTGGAAGTACTATGAATGACTAAAGCCAGGATTGTCTGGGACCGTATAAGTCGTGTCGTGCCAAAGTTTAATTAAATCCATATCCGATCCATTTATACTTTTGTATATGTTGAGTTCGTGTCGTATTAAGTTTGTGTTGCGTATAAATTCTACAGAGTTTGTGCACTGTTNAAATCCATATCCGATCCATTTATACTTTTGTATATGTTGAGTTCGTGTCGTATTAAGTTTGTGTTGCGTATAAATTCTACAGAGTTTGTGCACTGTTTAGTCCTGTTGCTGCTGATCAAATTTATGATGGGACTGACGGATTTACTTGTTAACCACCTGCTAAGGCTAAGCCCTAACTCTCCAACTTGGTGTAGACTTCATATTGCCATCGCATTTGTATGTAAAATTGTCAGGCCTAACTAATTACTTTGTTCCATCATGTCCTATTGGCTTGTCTTTCGGGAATGTAAAATGCTTCCTTGAGCAAGTTAACTTGAGGTAATCAAACCTACCATGTTGGAGCATATACTTCAATGACAGGAGTATGAGTTAGTGCAAGTGAATAAGACATACTGCACGAAACAACTCATAACACAACTAAAACCCAACTTGATGGAAGCTAGAAGAAGCAATCCAAATAGAAAGGGCTTTTAACATACATTTCGTACAAAAT